GGTATGCCTCTGCAGGATATAGGGTGGGTATGCCTCTACAGGATACAGGTGGGTATGCCTCTGCAGGATAGAGGGTGGTATGCCTCTAAGGATACAGTGGGTATGCCACTCCAGGATAGAGGGTGGTATACCTCTGCAGGATATAGTTTGGTATGCTACTGAAAGGTATATTGAAATGCTGGCACCTTCCTTTTTCTCTCTAGGTGTCCTGTCCAATGTTGCTGCTGAAAATGAATTGCCTGCTCTCTCCATGCAATGCAGACATCTATGGATCATTTAACAAAGGGCTTCTTGCATTAACTTCCACTTTGCATACACTTTAGAAATGCAGAGATTAAACCTTCAGGGCAAGGCACGGTGCCCTCCATACCTTCCTGGTATCAGTGCTGGGTGAATTTAATCACTTTTCCTGAAATCATATTTACATGACAGTGGACTGTGCCCCTGGGAATCACTCGACCTTACGCAACCTCCCGGAAACACACATTCCAGCTTCCTGTATGTACTGCTGATGGCCATTTTGTAAGGCATGAAGTTGTCGCCCCTTTTATCATTGACTGTAGCTCTTGGCTTATTATTCCTCATTATTAGAGCTTCAAGTCAGTGTCAACAGTTCAGAGCTGCAGGAAGCTAAGGTTAGTAGGGGCTCGCCAGCTGTCGAACTTTGTATTTCTCTTACCTGCAAGCCCGTTTACTCCAACCAATCCAGCTGAGCTCGAAATGCACACCAAATGTCCATGGTTCTTAGCGATCATGGCAGGTAAAAAGGCTTTATAAGTCTAAGAAGAGTAAAGCAAGCTCTTTAACATTGACTAGGACGCTGTATTCTTTCTTCTCAGCTGTTCATGATTATGATTAATTTTTTTAGCACATTAAAAACACCTGAAGTTAATGGGGTGAGGTGACCAGGGAAAAACAGGTGGAATAAAGGTATAAAAGCCACAGAAGTGAGACTTTCAAGGGGATTATGATCTTTGCCTTCATTTTAACCATATATCACTGTTTTATATAAATAACATGTATCATATACAAGTATTCAATATAAGCCTTATATGCTAATTTACATAAATACTATAATTATATGTATCATATGCACATCTACATATAGTTAGTATGTAATCTTCATTTTAAGTACCCACACACACATGCGTGTATGTGTCCTACAATGAGGAGGGACAACAGACATTTGGGACAGAGACATAATTTGTGGTAGTTGTCCCTGGAGGACAGGGTGACCTCTAAGTTCTGCATCTTTCTGTTTTGCTGCTGAAAACAGTATAGAACACCAAGAACAGCGCCCGCACCACTGAGCCTTGGCTGAAAACTGGGAACAGAAAATGGAGAACTCCAAAGTATGCTGGAAAGCTGCTAAGAGGGCAGGGCAAGGTGTGAACAGAGGGTGCAGCATGTGGGATTAGTACGATTCAAGTTTTCAGCTCATAAAAATGCCCGGAGTCAGTGGGTGGGAACATCGCTCAGGGGAGTGCACGGAGTGTGAGCATGCGCGTGCGCACACGCGCGCGCGCGCGCGCACACACACACACACACACACACACACTATGGCGCCTGTGCCCTAATGGGAGACTGACAATATAAAGGCAAAGAGGACATCAGGATGTCAGAATGACTTTATACTAATTAGGAGAAGAAAAAATGGGTTACCCATAAATGTGCTTTAAAATTCACGTCAATTGACTTCTCTATGAGGTCATCTGGGCAGTCCAGGAACTTCCTGCCCGTTACAATTCCAGCGTTGTTGATCAGGATGGAAACATCTCCAACTTCTTTTTTCACCTGAGTTGAGAAACAAGCACGATATCACTATGGTAGCATTTCCTTAAATGATGTGAGTTTTATTTTTCCAGGGTTATAGATATTATATTAGTTATATTATAAAAAGTATTTTCTTTTTCGGAGTCTGGTCTCCTAGAGACCCGGTTCTGATGCTACGTTCCTCCCACAGTTAGGACCGCCCTTACGCTCTGCCTGCGCCCCTGTCCTGTGCTCGGTGTGAGCCGCAGATCACTGTACTCAGTGCGATGCACACAGAACAGCTTTCTCCTAACCAAACGACATGTCGTGCAAGCTCCAGCACGCCTGGAGGGGGCGCTGAGCAGGAAAACACACGCAGGAAGACGCTGAGACACAGCAGCGTAAGGTACGGGCCACGCGTCTTGCTGCAGTACGGGCTGCTGCGGGTTCTTAATCACTTTTACTTAGGAAATTAAAAATTCTAGGCAGAAGAGCAGAGCCTCTCCTCCTCTTGAAACTTCAGACTACAGTCTCAGCCACCACGTGAGAAGTGGGCACAGACGTTTCCGGGATTAACGACAGGTTGTTCTTGGTTGCGTTCTGGATTTCATCACTACAACACATCGTACAGCCGTGGGCCTCGCGCGCACGTCTCCTCCCCTGCTGCGGAGGCCTGCAGCGGCACTGCTGCGCATGTGTGCGTGTGTGTGCGTGCGTGTGCGTGCGCGCGTGCAGTGCACTTGCCACTGCGGATGGCGCGAGGTGTGCGGTGCAGCCCAGCACACGGGAGGTGTGACCCTGAGGCCAGCAGACGCTGCCAGCCTCGCGGCTGCTGCTTCGCAAGGCCCAGGTCCCAGCACCAGCGTACCCGGGCGTTTACGTCGCCGACTGGCTCCGGAGCTCCGGAAGCGTTTAGGATGGAGCAGACACCACGCGAGCTCTGTGCCTGACGCCGGAGTTCTCCTATAAAGGCACCAGAAATAATCTGCAAGTTCCATTTGGTGTGTGGCTAAAATATTTTACCAAATCCAGCTTGGACAGCAGTCAAAGGTATGAACAAAATTTTTCTGACATACGTGAGGCAAAAGCAAAAGTCCGAAAAAGCCTTAGGCGGGAAGGCAGCACCTGTACTAGCGGCTGGTGTCCTCCCGCAGAGCAGGGATGAGCCCCAGCAGAGCGCAAGCTCCTGCTTGGCATGAGAACAAGCTCACGTCGAGCTTCTTAAATACGGGCCCAGGGGTGATAGCTAAGGGAACACACAGAATTCTAGTTTTGAAGTGTCTATTTTTTTGTCCCCATATTTTCCTCAGCATAAGACTGAGGCAACACTAACTTAGGTCTGTGTTACATCTCTTGCAAAACTCACCTGTGAGCCGCGCCCATCTCAGCCTGGCTGCCCTGTGGATGTTCATATGATGGAAACAAAAGCCTGTTTTAAGGCCTGTAGGCAGCCATGTACCTTAGCCTGGTGGCATGCTTCAAGGTGACTGATGTGGATTTTCCAAACACTGAGTTTTTTTTTTTTTTTTTTTGTATTTGTTACAGGGTCTGACTATGCAGCTTGGACTCATAATGATCCTCTTGTTTTCAACCTCCGCAGGGCTGGACTCGGTGGCTGGCTCAGTTCACCTGGGGTGGGACTGGCATGGGACATGCTGGGGATCAAACCCCAGTCCCTGAGCTTGCCTAAGCAGGCGCTTAGTGTGCTGATCTATCTCGCTGGCCTGCCAAACATAAAGTTTTACAACTACCACTGATAGCGGTAGTGGCAGAAGGGAAAGTTCTGTTTCTACCCATGATCATGTAGTCCATGATCTTGGATGTTAGAATTCAGTAATCAATTTTATAGAAATTTTTGTATAAATAAATTCCAGCAATTAACTTTTTAAAAAATCTTTTTGGTGGAGGACTGGTAAAAGCAAGTGTGCAATTGGAAGTATGTTAAATCAAGTGCTGTTGACATGCCCAGCCTGTGAACCAGTCACTACATGCAGGACACTTGCCTGTGCCACAGGATTAGCGACAGCCACCTACCTCTGGCTTGCTGTTATGTATACTGCCCAAAATAACCCCCGATGCAGGTGCCGTACAGCAATGCTAGCTTCGTCACCTCAAGACCCAGGTGGGAGTAAAGGAAACAAGCTCTCAGTGTTGTCAGACACTCAGCAGAGATAAAACACTGCCCTCAACTTTTTCTCCTGATTATTCTCTTGGGGGGCACTTCTTAAAAAGTCTCAGCTACTTCCCCATTGTCTAGACTCAGAGGTGGGAATGGTTGGCTTCCCAGGGTGGGTAGTAACTCACTTCCTCAGAATTCAATAGAACGCATCATTAACCCTTTCCAACACCACAGAAAGATAAAAGGACGTAGTAACATGACGCTTGGCCACTTCAGTTGGAGCTAAAGCACAGACCCAAAGAGGCGGGGGCCAGTCTTAACAAAATGCTTCAAGTAGTTTGCGGCCCTCGGTGGAGGTTGCCAGTGAACATGAACCGTCCATTGCTCGAGTCTGGCCAAGGGAATTATTTGCAGTCAGCACGAAGCATGTCAGGTGATCGGTGCTGCAGGTGTAAGTAGATGAGTCTACGAGGCGGGCTGCAGGTGGCCCCTGTTCCAGCCCGAGAGAGCTGGGCGGCTCTGGATCTCCAGGCTGTCCTGGGAAGGCGAGATGTGAAAGGGGAAGACAGACTTTGCCTGCTAGAGACCATAAACTGTTCCTGTAGGAAGGGATGGAGGAAGAACTGGGGACGCCAGCGGAGCCTACGGAGGGGGGCAGAGCCCTGCTCGATAGCCCGACTGTTCCGGCTGGCTGTGTGCCACTCCCTTCCCAGCAAACACAGCCATTTGGGGAGCCACCAACAAAGTGACCAGGAGAAGGGCCTGCAGTGTGTGCCTGCCAGAGCGAAGGCACAGAACCCTGCTGTGGAAGCGGGCAGGCCCTCTGTGAACCCAGAACAGTCTTGCCATTGGTACAATGAAGTTTTAGTTTCCTGGGACTTTCCTTACATTTGCAGCTGTGCTATTTCCAAAGGTGCCAATGCCTTTAAGAGTCTTAGAGCGAGTTAAGGAACTTGACTTTCTTATGCCTACTTAGGAAAAATACACATTCAAATGAGAAGCATGGAGCTGGGCAGATATAGCCTCCATTTAAAATCAGACTAAATGGTACAAATCGTGGCTCAGCGGCACACTAGCTCTGTGACCTGGGTGGAGTGTTTAACCGCTGTTTCTTTACTCTCAAAGATGGGTGCTACTGCGTCTCTGACTTCTAAGACAAGCAGTCCGCACAGTCAGGACAGTGAGTGGGAGGAAGCACCACTCAGGATTCAACAAACTGAAGTCCTGGCTGTAGCAGCTAGTTATTAGTTGCATCTCTAGGAACGCTCTCTGCCTGCTCTTACATGTGAAAGGCAGACACAGTGTTGTGCTGGTTTGATCTAAAAATGTACCTCAAAGGCCCATTTGTTCAGAAGCGGGATTTTTTTTTTGTATTAAAACAGATCATAATGCCCATTTATGACCTCATGGTGAATGGCCATCGGGCTCTTGGGTAGAGGCGAAGGTGGGTTGCTTGGGATGCGCTTGTGAGGGACACATCTTTTCTCGAGCTCTTTTGCCCCTTTGGGGCACCTGGCTGCCATAAAATGAACAGCTTTCTCAGCTGTGCTGTTTCTACCTAAACACAGGACCAGAGTGCAACATCTAAAACCAGGAGCCACGCAGGCCTTCGCTCCTTGAAGTCTGCTGATTCCCACTCCTGAGCAATGGATTTTAAATTAAAGGAACGTAAGAGACAGGCAGATGGATTCTGAGAAGAGCAAATAACAGCAACAGTGGTGTGACATACATGAAGGCATTCACGGAGGGTCTTGCTGCCCCGAAGACAGGGTAGCCCGAGGTTTACCTGATCAGCCACTCTGTAGACCTCCTCCTTCTGGCTGCAGTCACAGGTGTAGGCATGCACCCGTGTGGCGCCGGCTTCCTGAGCCAGCCGGCGCGTTTCCTCGTTGGCTTCTGCGTTGATGTCCCAGAGTACAAGCGCAGAGCCCAGGCGCGCGAACTGCAGGGCCAGGAGCCTCCCGAGCCCACTGCCTGCCCCTGTTATGAGGACAGTCTCACCAGCAACGTTCTTTCGTGGCTTTGGAATGAGAGTAAAAATCAGAGCCTCCAGGACACCAAGAAGCGATTTTCCTAAGAAAACAAGCAATTCCTTTGTTGCTGTCACGTAGGAAGACATGTTTTGGCTGATACCTGAAAAGCAAGATCGGTGCTTAGTATGGGACCTCCACTCTTTGAAATAGTGAAAGTGTCTGAGAAGCCTTCTGAACCCCAAAAGGGGCAGGAGCCCCAGGACCCCCGCAGCCTCCCACAGTGCTCCTTGCACTAGGAAGCCCATACCAGGTGGCCCGGCTGGCCACGCTGCGCCCTTCTGGACACACGACTATTTGAGTCAGATGACACAGGTCTGCTCCGTGGTGCGCAGCACTCAGGCGGTGACCAGGAGCACCACCACTGACCTGAGTGCCACGAAAACTCAGGATGACGGGGGCTTTCTAGACTTCAGGTGCCCCCCTCAAGGCAACCACGCTGTGAGACCCAAAACAAATTGGTTTATGGGTCTCGGCACACACTCCCAGGGCTCCGGAGCACTGCGGCGTGAAGCTGCCTGCGCCTGAGGTTCGGGATGCTTGACGTTTGCCTGCATAGGCAGTGACGTCCAGGGTTCAACTTCGGACGGGACATGGGACATTTCATCTCACACTGAGTTTCTTTGCAACTCTGCTAACAACTAGTTCATCTTTAGTTTGTTTTTCTAGAAGCAGGGAATCTAACGGCTGCACGCAGGGAGGTGAAGGAGTGAAAGAGAATACGGGCGACACACTAAGACGCATTATGAGGTCATGACTCATCCCTAGGAGACAACAGGGCTCCCAGCTCCTCTCCCCAGTCTCTGTAAGGCGGGGTCTCCACCAAGCAGATGCCTGGCTAGGGCAGGGCCCAGAGCGCAAGGACAGCAAAGCAGTTACTCTGGAGAGTCCTGGTGGCTGTCCGCGGGCTAGGGCGGATTCCCCTCGCGGTACTAGTGAAAGGCACCGTAGGAACTGTAGCAAAGCCAGCGGGTCTCCCTCTCCGCGCAAAGACGCCTTCTCAGAAGCCCCGAGGCTCAGCTGTGACCAGGCTGCAGGGTTCCTGGGAGTTTTCATGCCACACACAGGGCTCAGCGCCGCAGCCACACTACCCTCGGCAGCGGCCCTGGGCACAGTGTCCCCCATCCCAGGCCTAGCGAGAAGAGCACAGTGGGCAGACAGCCCCAGGAGGCGGGAGGGCTGAGGGCAGGGAGCGGGGCAAGAGGGGAGGGCAGAGGGCAGCTCACTGCCACGTGCGCGTGAGTGCGTGTGCAAGCGCGTGGGCGCGGGCCCGGGCGGGAGCGCGCCTGAGAGCCTCCGCCCCGCCCGGCCGGCCGCGCTCCGGGCCGCCGCCCCCCGCGAGTCCTGAGGCGGTCGGAGGCCCGGAATCGCCTGCACCAGGGCGCGAACTCACCGGGATTCGCTCTGCGCTGCCCCGCGACGCTGCCTCCCTCACCCCGGGCGCCGGAGCGCCTGGCTCCAAGCTCCGCGGGGCCGGATCGGGGCCGGAGGGCGCGACCGCGGCGGGGTGGGTCCGCGTGGGGAGCCCAGCGCCCGCGTGCCTTGGTCGGCGGGGAGATGTACAAGGTGCAAACTCGATCTTGGAGCCTGGCGCCGCACACTCGAGTTCTTACGTTTCAAATTCCCGGTGCTCGGGCCGCACCCCGGATTTTTAAAGCAGAAGTTGGTGCGGGCAGTCCTGTGCGCGTGGCGATCCGCCAACGTCCGTGTGAAGCTCGCACTCGGCGTCGGTCCGCTGCCCGCGCTCGATCCAAAGCTAACCGCTCCGGTCAGGCCCGTGGGCGCGGCTGGGCACCGACTGGGGCGGTTCCTGCGTAGGGAGGAGGGCGAGGCAGGCGTTTGTCCGTGAAGGTGGAATTGAGAAATAAAAATAGAGCAAGGGCCAGCGCTGCACTGACTTGTTTATTGAACGTCTCTGAGTGGGGAAGATACAGCAAGGACACGTATCCGTGATACAGAAAAAAAGATAAATGCCCACTTAACAAAATCAGGGAGTGAAAGCCACCCCTGGAACGCCCACAGAGGGTGGAGTTCAGGGCGTGGCACAAGGGGCAGCGATGACAGTAAGTTAAACTATGAAGTAGCAGAGGGAGGGAGAGAAGGGAGTGAGCAAGAGTTGGGTGTGGGAGTCATCCGAGGGCCAGCCAAGTGGGCAGCCTTACCTGGCCCCTACCTGGGACTGGCTAGGAGAAACGGTACTATGGGGAGAAGAAGCAGGTCAGGTTACAGCCCTGGAAGAACAGGCACAGAGTGGTGCCGTGGGCGTCTTTCTGTGCTTAGCAGGTTCCCGGGCCAGCTGTGGAGAAATTTAAGTAGCTGTCTTGAGGGAATGTCACCCTGCACCAGGTGTGTGCCTTGGTGTCAGGTCAGCCCGCAATGCCAGAGCGCACCCTCTGTACAGGGCTTCGGGGAACACCTGACCTTGGGGAAGGCTGGAGAGACAGATTCAGAGCTGCTTGCTTCCTGAGCAGGGAGATGAGCACCTCAGGGCCTTCCTGAAGCAAGTAGGCAGGCAGGCAAGCGGGCAGGGCAAAGTGGCCACAAGTACAGGCTAACTAGAGGCTGGTAAGTAGATGTACCCCATTTTCAGAAACCAGAACAAAAGGTACCCAAAGCTCCAACACAGGAGGAATTACGAACATGAGTCATTCTTCCCAACAGAAACTCAGAGAAACTCTAGTTCCTGCAAACACCAAAAGCAGAAATAGGACCTTGGGCACCCACATGGTATAAAGAGTGTTAAAATAAGAAATGAAACTATTAAAGTATTGAAATAAAATTTAGGAAAGTTATTTTGTTACTGGGTTAGGCAAGATAAAAACAGTATACATTTTTGATATGACTATGTAAAATATAAATTCTCATGTAAATCAAGAAAATATAAAGTAAAATGATGACAGATGAATCCAAATGGTTTTTTTGCATAATGAACTGACCATTACTAATTAACCACCATATATAGCATTTCTATAAACTGGGTTGAAGAATACTAGGAAAATGGATAGAGAAATGCAAGGGAAGTTCACAGACACATATGAAGACAATAATTGAAAACGTCTGGAAAGTTCTGTAGGAAAAGTCAGGCTGAAAAAGAATGTCATATATTTGTCATATATGGCATTAAACTCAGGTCTTTGTGCTTGGCAGGCTGGTGCTTATGCCGCTGAGCTATTTCCCTGGCAATGTCCTATCTTAAAAATCCATCAGTATCCACACTGTGGGAGACAGCGCCAAGGACTGAACCTGTGGCCTCTAATCAGAGCCATGACCCTAGAGTCTTTAAAAACCTTCTGAGTCAGGCTTCTGACAGATCCCCTACATGTTCCAAGCTGTGTCTCACCCTGTAACCCTCCTGCCTCAGCCTACCAGAGCGCTGGGGCACGGGCACACATCACCAGGCCCAGCTCAGCAGTCGGATATTCAAAAGTTATTTTTTTATTTTTTATTTTTATTTTTTTATATTTTTACTTTATTTTATTTATTTATTTTGATTCTTCAGCTTATTCAAAAGTTATTAAAACTTCAGGAGTCCACATCTTTCAGTGGGAGAGTATGAACTGGTGCGACCTTTGTGGGTGGTGAAATGGGCATTGTGCCTCTCGATTGTTACTTCATGTAAACCCTCCAGCAGGACAACCTTTTGGGAATAATGTGATTGTTCCCTAGGCCATGCTCTGGGCTTTTATAGGCTACTATGGTTTTAATGTGTCCCCTAAAAGTTCGTGTGTTGGAAACATAATCCCCAAATTCATATGTTGATGGTATATGGAGGTTGGATTCTGGGGAAAGAGTGATAATTAGATGAGGCGTGAGGTCAGGGCCCATGATAAGGGCAGGAGCTTGAGAATAGAGGAAGAGGCCTGGGCACATGGGCTTCACGTGTCCACTGCCGCAGTAGGAGGCCCAAGAGGACTCTCCCCAAGGCCAGTGCTGGCCTCCTGGGCTTTTAGCCTCCAGAACTATGGGAAACTGACCTTTCCATTATGATTTCTCCCGTCTGTGCTTTTGCTATCACTGGCAAACAGGACAAGGCCCAGGCTTTAGTTCTGCTCTGTTCCTCTCGTCCGTGCACCTAGCAGAGCCAGTGTGCTCTCTCTGCCTCCTCCTGACCACGCAAAGGACCAGACAGGTGTAGCTTCCAAGACTGTAACTTTTGTTTTAAACAGGAAATGAATCTCATTTCTTTTCCCAAGAGGTCATTTAATTATATTAAAATATTATTAAAAAATCTATAATTTTTAGATTCATTATTGTAAAACTTTCCACAGACTTCTAGTCATCAATATAAGCAGAAATAGACATCATCAGACTTATCCCAGTAAACTTTAAATAATTATTTTTATTTTTATGTATTTGGTACAGGGTCTCACTGCTTAGCTTAAACTCATAGTGGTCCTCCTCTTTTCAGCCTCCCCAGGGCTGGGATTACAGGCGTGCATGACCACGCTCAGACTCAGTGGCTGGCTCAGCGTGCCCTGTGGTGGTGTCAGTGTGGCATGTGGTGCTGGGGATCAAATCCCAGTCTTTGTGCTTGCCTAAGCAGGCAGTTAGCCCACTGAGCTATCTCACTGGCCCCCCCAAATTTGAGTTTTAAAATAATATGAAGAAGGGCCCACCAAATAGCTTAGCAGATTAAAGTGCCTGCAAGCAGGCAGAGGGGCGGGGGTTCAATCCCCAGGCCTGCTGTGCTGGCCCCGCCCCTGGGGAACACTGAGATGGCAATTGAGACTGGGAATGGTGGTGCACGACTGTAATCCCAGCTCTTGGGGGCTGTAAACAGGCGGATCACTACAAGTCTAATCTAGTAGCGAGACCCTGAACACCCCATAGACCCTTCCCTAAAAAATGTTGAGTGTTCTAGGAGTCTTCAGTGTTCTGATACTCTTTGTGAGCTCCTTTTTCAGAGTCCTCTACTTTTCAATATAGACATTTTATTTCCTTTGTTAGATTGATTCGCAGGTATTGCACTGTTTGGATGTTATTGTGAAAGGGGTAGTTTCCTAATTTCTCTCTTGGTGAGTTTGCTATTTGTGTACAACAATTCTGTAGATTTTTGAGTGTTGACTACCCAGCTATGTGACTGAATTTGATTATTAAATCTAGACATTTTTTGATAGAGTTTGGGGGTCATCTGTGCCAAGTGTGATAATTTAACATCTTTTCCTATGTTATGCATTTCATTTCTTTCTCTTCCCTAATTTCTCTGGCTAACGTTTCCAGAGCTATATGAAATAGGAGCAGCAGTGGTGGACATCCTTGTCTTGCTCCTTCGTTTAGAGGGAAAGCTCTCAGGTTTTCTCCATATATTATGATGTCGGCTGTTGTCATCATAGGTGGCTTTTATCAGATGGAGATAAAAGCCACTTATAGCAATTATCTGTAAGTTGTTTTTTATTGTGAACACTGCACTTCATCAAACACCTTTCCTGCATCTGACGAGATGTCATGTGAGTTTTGACTTTAGCTCTGTTGATAAGATATATTACATTTATTGATGTGCACATGTTAAACCATCTGTACATCCTTGGGATAAATCACAGCTGGGCATGGTGTGTAAGCTTCTCAATGATTTGTTGCATTCTGATTGCAAGAATGTTCCTGAGGATTTCTGTGTCTATGTTTGTTAGAGAGATTGTCCCGTAGTTTGCATTCCTTGTCAGACGCTTCTCTGGTTTGGATATTGGATCATGCCTACTTCCAGAAGTGAGTTTGGGAGTATTCCTTCCTTTTCGATTCCATTTAAGAGTTTGAGGAGTAGATTCATTAGTGATAGATTTTGATGGCGTCTCAGCAGAGAAACAGGCAGAAGGAAAAAGGGAAAGGGGCTTTATTATAAAGGAAAGGGGGCTTCATTATCTTGGAGGACATGGAGAGAATTTGGGAAGATAAGGAATTCTCTGGATCGGAACAAAGGGAGGTGAGGCTTCTATGGCCTGTTGCCAGGGGTGGGGTTTGAGGGGATATTTAGATACACCTGAGGAGCTGACTGGGGCCTTCCCTGAGGTGGCGGGAAAGGTGAAAGAAAATGAGTTGGAGAAGAAAGGGGGAGGTGGTTTCTGGGAAAATAAGCTGTTGTTTTAAGGGCTTCAGCCATATTGGATGACCTACGACCGTAACCTATCCATTAGATCTTCTCCAAATTTCTTGTGGAATTGAGCAGTGAATCCATTAGAACCTGGGCTTTTCTTTTCTGGAAAATTTTACATTAACACCTTTAATTTCATTGACTGATATTAGATTATTTACCATTTTTATATCTCCTTGATTCAGCTTTGGTAATTTATACATATCTAGGCATCTGTTCATTTTCTCTGTGTTTTCCATCTTATTAGAATGAAGTTTCTTCAAGTAAATATAGATGATCTTCTGAATTCTACTAGGATCCATTGTGATTTCGCTCTTTTCTTTCCTAATCGATAGATTTGAATCTTTTTCTTTTTTGATAAGGGGTTTAGAACTTAAATCTTTCAAGGAGCCGATTCTTTGATTCATTGATTCTTTATATTATTTTCTTGGTCTCTATTACATTTATTTCTGCTCTGATCGTTATAGTTTTCTCCCTTGTACAGGTTCAACTTGTTCTTCTTTTTCCAGAAGTTTGAGGTTTAGCATTAGGTGGTTTATTTGTGCTTGCTCTGTATTCCTGATGTGGAAGTTTACTGCTGCAAATTTCCCTCATAAAACTGCTTTCACTGTGTCCTGTAAGTTCTGGTATGTTGTACTGGCATTATCCCTTGATTGTAGAAGCTGTCTCATTTCTTTTTTTATTTCATCTTGATCCATTGGTTGTTCAGGAGGGT